GGACGTGTCAGCCCTCGAGGCCTGGAGTTCAACAACTGTGCTCTGGATTAACCAATAATCTGAGCTTTCGTGTTCTTCTCTGTCTCAGTTCTCTGTTTCCATTTTCTTTGGACTCTAATGATGATGTTCAGGTTGTCAGTCCTGTTTTTCTGTCTCTGTCTCCGTGTTCACTGCGGGTCTTCTTGTGTCTGTTTCAGTTTCCTTTGGTTATTTCTTGTTCATGTCCTGTGTTACCTTTGCTCCCATGTGTGTGTGTGACTGCTTTTACTTTTGTCTTGTTGCACTGCTGCTGGATGTTCAGGCTAGTGTGTATAAATAGTCCTTCCCCTGTATTCCCTGCCATGCTCCCTCTTTTTGTTTGACTTTTCTGCCTCATTTTTTCTTATTTATTTATATGTAGACGTCTTTATGCCTGAGCTGTATTTTGTTTCTTTGTTTTTGCAGTAATTCAGGAAAATAAAGTCTCGTCTTCTATTTACCCTGGCTGTGCTTCAGGAGCGGACTGGAAGGTAACTGGCTGCAGGCACTTTCCAAAATCAGCGCTGCACACAATTAAGCATGCAGTACAGCAGAGATGCCTAAAATTTCTTTAAAAAAAAAAGTTGAACATGAAGGCAGGCCTGATCCCTTCAGACAGGTGAGATGCTGCTTTTAACCTTCAGCTTATTTGCTTACTAAATTTTACTAAAACCCAGGTTTGACAAGCATCTCTGTTAATCAAAGCCACAATTATAATAAAATGCCAAAGTTGAGAAAACGATGACCTAATGCACTACGCCATGTGATGTAACATAAAAAGTACTGTGCATAAGTTTTGCGTTTACTGTGGCTTGGTTCATTCATGTTTGTCTGAAGCTCTGAGGAGCATTAAAACAAAAGTGGCCTGAGTCTAAATCCCAGAAACCCGACACGTTATTATTATTATTATTTTTTTTAAAACAATGTGACGTATCTCATAACTGAAAAGGTCTGCAGTGGAGTGAAGATCGAAAGTGATGTAAGCCTGTGGAGTGACAATATTCAACACGTTCAAGTGACGCTCATGTCTGTGAAGGTTCGCTCATCTTCACTGTGTGAGAAACGGCCGTCATCGCTTCCCAAAGACTTCCAGAGAAACGTTTGCACTATGATTTCAGTTTGTGAGAGCCAGACATACTCTCAGCTCCGTCTCTGCTGCTGTAAACCCAAACAAATGCTGCACAGACCGCCTGTGAACGCAGCCAACACTGCC